TGTTAGTGTCTAGTTTTTAGTGTTTGTAGCTGTTAGTGTCTGTAGCTATTAGTGTCTGTAGCTGTTAGCGTCTGTAGCTGTTAGCGTCTGTAGTTATCGTCTGTAGCTGTTAGTGTTTGTAGCTGTTAGCGTCTGTAGTTATCATCTGTAGCTGTTAGTGTTTGTAGCTGTTGGTGTCTGTAGCTGTTAGTGTCTGTAGCTGTTAGCTACAGATGTTAGCAGCTACAGACACTAACAACTACAGACACTAACAACTACAGACACTAACAACTACAGACACTAACAGCTACAGACACTAACAGCTACAGACACCAACAGCTACAGACACTGTTAGTGTCTCTAGTTGTTAACAACTGTAGCTGTTAACATCTGTAGCTGTTAGCATTTGTAGTTCTTAGTGTCTGTAGCTGTTAGCATTTGTAGTTCTTAGTGTCTGTAGCTGCTAGCGTCTGTAGCTGCTAGCGTCTGTAGCTGCTAGCGTCTGTAGTTATCGTCTGTAGCTGTTAGTGTTTGTAGCTGTTAGCGTCTGTAGTTATCGTCTGTAGCTCTTTGTGTTTGTAGCTGTTAGCGTCTGTAGTTATCGTCTGTAGCTCTTTGTGTTTGTAGCTGTTAGCGTCTGTAGTTATCGTCTGTAGCTGTTAGTTTCTCTAGCTGCTAACGTCTGTAGCTGCTAGCGTCTGTAGCTGCTAGCGTCTGTAGCTGTTAGCGTCTGTAGTTGCTAACCTATGTAGCTGTTAGTGTCTGTAGTTGTTAGTGTCTGTAGCTGTTAGCGTTTGTAGCTGTTAGCAGCCACGTATCGTCGCGTGCTTGGATAATCTAGTCTCGTGACTGTCTCTATTTTTCTGTGTAGGAGCAGGAGCTTCACGTCAGACCTCCACCAACCACATGTTTGTTCTCTAACAGGTATGGTTGTAATTTCTAGTAAAGTTGTTCAATATTAAACTTCGGTCCAGCAGCCTCCACTTCAAAAAGTCAGCGCTCACGCGGTTTGGTTGTGCACGTGCTAACACCACCAGGTAGTCTCGCTTGTTAGGTTCTTTCAAAATAAAAGCTGATGTGTGTCTCCTGTTGGTACAAACTCTGGACATAAAACTCATGTTAGCACTGGAAGCTGTAACGGGACCAACATTCCTGCTCAGCTGTTTCCACAAAGTTTCAATCTCGCCCCCATATCCAAAGAGTAGAGAACTTTTTGTGTTTAAGTTAAATAAATAAAAAAACTCCAGTGAGTTTTTCATGTTTTGACTCGAGTTGATTGAAGTCATTCTTGCTGGTCCATGTTCAGAAATTATTTTTAATGTCCGCCTGTGAATATGATCCATAATATTTGACTTTAGTCTCTGTTTTGTGGTTATTTGTATGTTCATGATGTGAGAATGTTCAATTGTTTTCCCTGAAGTTTCCAATAATATTAAAACAAAACTCTTAGTTTCCAGTGACCAGTCTCACTTCAGGCTGACTGTAGAACATCTCCAGATGTTGCTCACCAGATGTCACCTAGATCTCATGTGGAATTTCAAAATAAAGGCCCTCCAAAGTTGGACATTTCCCATAGAATTGTCCCTAAGTTTCTGTGTTTGTTGCTCGTTCTTCAGGATGTTGTAGAAACAGCGAGGGTAAGTACGGCTTTACCAGAAATCACATCATTAGTGCAGAAAATTTATTGTCTCGTTGAAATGCAACATAGTTCAAGTAAAAACAGGAATGTTTCATTTAAAATAATTTATATGTTTAATATTTTATGTGACAATAACCATTTGGAAAAATAAAGTTCAAATTGTACATTAATGTCAGAAATGACATTTATATCATTTTAACATCAAGTGTTTGTTTTTCCTGGTAAATGTTGAGAATTACAAGAGCTTTGTGTTATTTGTCCATGTCGACCAAAATCACTGGAGGTTTCTGGTTAGTGTGCATAAAAATGATACTTGTTGTTCTCTCAGAACATTTTAATTTAAAGTTTCATGTTTTGATTTGTGCAGAAACTCTGTGAACCACACAGTCTTTCTGGTGGATCAAGTTCAGCAGAAGACGATTCAAAAGCTGCAAAAACATTTAGGTAAGTATTTATTAAGAGACAGAGGAGAAAAGTCTAACACTGAATTATATCTGGTGAGCTGCTTTTAAAATGATTTTAGTTGCTGTTATGGCCATGAAGGACAGAGTGCACGTTTTATTCAAGTTTGATTCAGGAACATCATAAATTACACATGAATTTTTTTCACTGAAACTAAATGAATCTTCAGACTTGTTCCTGATCATTTTGAAAGATTTGGTAACAACTTGAGTTGGACATATCATGCCAGTGTAAGGACGACACGTGTTCCTTGTGTTATGGCTCCTACAAAGTTTTTGAACACTTGAAGTCGTCCTGCTACATTTATTAAACATCAAATGTCTCTACAGCTTTCTGTTCTTTGATCAAATAGATTTTCTGAATCACTAAACTTCATTTCCTTCAAACTACTAATTGGTTTTGATTTGTTCAAAAACCCACATTTCTCTAAGTCAATTGATCAAAACGTGCACGTTATTAAAATGCAGTCAGTTCTCACACTCACTGTTAAAGTCTAATAGAAAATAAATCAGAGTTCATTTAAATGTTGCTCATTAATTGTTCTTTTAATTGTAATTAGAATATTTAGCTGATGTTCAAATCAGTTCCTACAACTTGTGTTTCTTGAACAATTAGTTTCAAATATTTACTGATTCTATTAAAAGCTGCAACAGAGTTGAGCTGAAATGAAGGAGAGCGCGTCAGAACTAGAAAGTTCCTGGAGAAACTTTGATGGGGACTGCCAAGCTGCTGACAATTTTAAAATGTGATTTGAGTGTATGTTTGGGATCGTTGTCAGCTTCCACTATACCAAATTTCAGCTGAATAGCTCTAAAAATGGGAGAGTTATCATCTTTTTTCTTTTTTAGCTAAGTTGGCCATCTTGGATTTTTGATTTGCATTAGGAATGTATAACATCACGCTCTCAGCTACAATCTTACTAAATTTCATCCCAATATATCAAAAAATAACTGATTTATAGTCAATTATGTGTTTGCTGAGGCTGCTGTGGCAGCCATCTTGCACCAAAATGGCTCCATACGTTACTCAGTTTCTCAGAAGGGTTTTCTTCTATTCATTTCCTATGGGATATTTGGCATCTTTGTTAGCAAAATATGTCGCCATGGTAACTGCAAACGCCAATAAAAGTACTTGCACACTTCCCAGCGCCGGGCGTCGTTTTGATATAACTTTTGTGGGGGTCCACGTTGCGTTTCGGGGAACATTAAAGTTGAAAAAGATACACTTTTCAGGTGTAGAATAATAAGTGGGCAGTCACCAACTAGTTCCTGGAGTTGGTGAAATATTGCGTCTTCGTTCACAAATTACGTCACCATGGTAACTCGAAATGCCAATAAAAGTAATAGCACACATCACGGAGCCGAGCGTCGTTTTGATATAACTTGTGTTGGGGTAGACGCTGTGGTTCGGGCCGCATTAACTGAGATAGAAATGTAGACACTCTTCCAAGGTGTAGAATAATAGGAGCCGCATGGCAGTCCCCAAAAATGTGATCGTGTGACGTTAAATAGAACGGAGGCGTCGTGCTCCAGCCGCTCCAAATGGATGGAAATATCTGCTGGGACATTGTTGTGATAGTTGTTCACTGGAAAGTTGGTGAAACTTCATGTGTAGAGCTTTTGTTACTTGTTTATCGTTTGTACCTTTTCTTATGGTTTCAATATTTTTTAGATTGCCAGAGAAGTGATGAAGACTTTCCTGATATTCCAGCATCAGTTTTGAACGATCAAAACTGGAAATCATAAAGTAAAGAGGAATGGGTGAACAGATACTGACTGCATCAGGTTTGGTCCTGAAGGTTTGATTTCAACATTCTAATAGACTTATGCATTATTGTCCAACAAGGAAGTGACTAAAAATAGTTCACTCTGAAGATAATAATATTTTAAATTACAAAGGTTGTTAAGAAGGTGAAGAGGAGACGAATAATATCTGATTGGTTGAGCTGAGAAATGAAAAGGCTGAATGTGATTCAAATAAGTGATAAAGTTCACAATCACATTTGACTCTTCAAGAGAATTGTGTGTAAATAAATCAAACAATGATGTGTTTGAAGCTTTAAGGTCAAAATGCAGGTAAATCCTGTCAGAAATGTTCTTTGTATAAAACTAAACACTAGAACTCGACCTGACTGGATAAATGTGGATCCAGCAACACAATTCCCTCAAAAA